CGGACGGATGGGCTCAATGACTTTATTAAAATAGAAATATGTACAAGGTTTCTCTGATTCCGTCCTCGGAACGAGTGCATGTCTCTTAAAATCTATATGGGGATCTCCCCCTCGTCAGGTGTCTCGCCTTCCCCACTGGATGGGCTGACAAAGTCCTCATCCTCCTCCGGCTGCTCCCACGGCTGCGTCGGCAAGGCGGTTATTGTCACCGTGTCGGTAACGGTGGCCCGGGTTAGCTCGATCCGGTACGCGCTGTCGAATGCTTCGGCGGCGCGTCTGATCGCATCGAGTTCGGCGGGAGAGCCCCATAGGCGCGCGTCTCCCGCCAATTGCACAGAGTGTCGTGCCATCTGGCGACTCACCACCGGCGATGGCGTGCTTCGCCGGCTCTCCTCAGCTACTCGCCGCGGCTGCGGCGTCGCCCGTCGCTCCGCTCGCCTGATCTCCTCCGGCGTCAGTCGGGTTATGACTACCCGAGGTTGGCTAAGGAGTTGGCCGCGCACCGTTTTAGTGCACGGCTTCAAGGTTATCATTCTATCAATAAAAATTCAAGAAAGAAAAAATAATACAGTTTTATTTTTCATATGACAACATTCCAAGCATATTTGTATACATATACAATAAGAATTACTGTAAGGCTATCATTCTATCAATAAAAAAAATCAAAAAAGAAGAACTAATACAGTTTTATTTCTCATATGATTGGAGTTGCTTTTTTAGAATTTTAACTTTGTACAAAGCTGCAGATATTGCGGCCGACGAATCGCTTGAAGCGAGCGCGCGCTCCCGAGCGCGTGACGTAGCGATCACACATTCTCGCAACGTGAGTTCACCGCGAGCTTAAGTTTGCCCCGACGCTCGCCCAATTACAAGCGCGCGCCGTGTTAAAACCATATTTTTGGCAAACCCTCATTCGCGCAATTTGTCTCTGGCCTTCTAGAAGGTTCATTAACGGCAAGAAATACCCCTCCCTGTACGGGGAACCTTCTGGAAGGTCAGAACCGATAAAAGAACCCAACGGAGCGACGCTCGTCGCAGTCTTTCGCTAGAATTCCGCATTAGCCGTTTCGTAAATTCAGATTACTGTAATTAATAGAGTGCATAGTTGTAATAATAGTTGTGTTACTTTTCTTTTATTAAATGTTAAACCGAACAATCAGAGCTTATTTCTTACTGACATTCCTTTATTCCTCGCGATCCAATTGAACTGATAAATTCAAGAACATTTTTGGTCCTTCGAGCCGGATCTATCGGATTCAGTTCCGCTTCGGTCCTCTTTTCGCGATAAAAAATGCGTGCTTGCTGTTCGTTGTGAACTGTTTTTCCGTGCAATGCCTGAAAAGAAAAATCAAATGAACGACTTAATACAAGGACAAAGAGATTTACATGGGAGGATCTCACGCGTGGTGGAAAATCTCCGGAAGCTGGGGCAAGCCAACATCACCGCTGGCGCCGTTCAATCCCGTTTGGCCAGCCTCGAAAGCTGTTGGAACAAGTTTGAGGAGCAGGACAAAACTCTTCGTACGGTTCACCGGGAAGCTGTGAGCGGTACCTCTTACCTGAAAGAAGATTTCTTTAGCCTCGTGGAAAAGGCATACCTCAATCAGAAGGGGACCTTACTCGACTGTTCCACTCGATTTTCTCGCACTTCACAAGCCGAATCGAGAGCGGATCCGTCAGCATCACGAACCACGCTACTCAGAATCCAACTGCCAGAATTCACGGGGAGGTATGAAGATTGGCCCGCTTTTCGAGACTTATTTCAGTCCCTCATCGGCAAGGACAGCAGTCTAAGCAAGGTAGAGCGACTTCATTACCTCAAGGTAAGTCTGAAAGAAGATGCAGAGGCGTTAATTAAAAACTTGCCTACAACAGCGGAAAATTATCGACGCGCGTGGAAAATCTTATGCGAACAGTTCGAGAACAAAAGACTACTAGTGCGGTCTTGTTTAACTAAATTTACCGCGTTGCAAAAAATGAAATCTAAAACGGCTACTGAATTGCGGAAAGTACTAAACGACTGCCGGCGCGCTGGAGAGCATCGGTCGTCCGATATCGAGCAGCAAGGACCTTTTCGTTTTTTTTGTAGTGGAAGCGGCTCGACGCTTGCACTCGCCGAGAATGGAAAAACTCTATCAGCGAGTCGCCGAATCCCCCGACTTATGAAGCTCTTAAGCGCTTCCTCGATCGCCGGCTCCAAACGTTGGAAGCAATTCAGCCGGGAAGATCAGAGACGCCTGCGAATAAATCTACGAAAACGGGAAATAAAGCCTCGCGATCTCATCATGTGCAAAAACGAGAGCCCGGTTTCTCGCGATGCGGAATCTGTAAGAAGAAGCATGCTCTGATGTTGTGCGATGTATACAAGGGCAAACCCGCTCGGGAACGAAAACAATACGTCGACAGTAACTCCCTTTGTGAGAACTGCCTCGGACGACACAAGGTCAACGATTGCCCGTCCAAAAGACTGTGTTCGGTGTGCGCCGAAAAACATCACACTTCACTGCACGATGCTTTCCGAAAAACTCCGACGGAGCCCGAGGCCGCTAAGACCGAAAGCGTGACAACCGCGCATGTCGCGCGAAACTCTCCGCGTACTCAACCGTCCGTACTTCTTGCTACCGCTCAAGTTCAAATACTTGATCGCTACGGGAGATCAATCGACGCGCGAGTTTTAATCGATCAGGGATCGGAAGCGACGATCATAACGGAAAATCTCGCTCAAAGACTAAAACTTCCACGAAGACAGACTTCAAGGGGACCCGCTTGCAACCCGTTGCACAAAAGACAATTTTTGGATGGATCCTACTGGGTCAATTCAAGCCAGTTGAGGAGGATCAAAGGGTGTCGAGTCACCAGTGCCTACTCGGCGAATCCCTCTCTACCCTCGTCAGGAAATTTTGGGAGCAGGAGGAGCTTCCGATTTCACCCACACCTCTCACGCTCGAAGAACAGGAGTGCCAAGAATGGTTCACCCGAACACACCAACGAACTCCCGACGGTCGCTATGTCGTTCGCTTGCCTGTACGCTCGACCCTGCCGGACCTATCGGAGACTCGTACCGCGGCGATCCATTCTCTTCTCCGCACCGAAAGGCGTTTCCTGAGAGACACTGAGTTCAGAGAACTCTACACGGACTTCATGAGCACATATGAGGACTTAAATCATATGTCACGAATCACGACATCGTCTCACCTGCCAGCAAGGGTCTGCTACCTCCCGCATCACGGAGTGTTCCGAGCCGCCAGCACCTCGACGCGCCTCCGAGTAGTCTTCAATGAATCTTGGACCGTCTCCTCGGGCACATCGCTCAACGAACACCTCCATGTCGGACCTAACTTGCTGCCAGCCCTAGCCGACAGAATTCTTCGTTGGCGATGGCATACTTATGCGATGGCAGCCGATATTGAGAAAATGTATCGGCAGATACTCGTTCACGAGGAAGATCGGGACCTGCAAAGGATCGTATGGAGAAAGGATCCGGACGGCGAAATACTGGACTTACGGCTCAACACCGTTACCTATGGACAAGCTTGCGCACCATTCCTCGCTCTCAGTTCCCTTCGTCAGCTTGCAAGCGATGAGCAGGTCCGCTTCCCGGAGGGTGTCTCTGTAGTGCTCGAGGACTCCTACATGGACGAATTCTACTTCGGGGCCGATACAAAAGCGGAAGCCCTGGAAAAGCAAAAACAGTTAGGTCTTTGCAAGGCGGGCGGCTTCCCCCTGAAGAAGTGGACAGCCAACTCTACCGAACTACTCGAGAACATACCCGAGGACGATCGCTTGCCACGCCAGTCTCGCGCCTGTACAGACGAGCGGATCACGCATTCTGCGCTGGGACTTCTTTGGGATCCGCTGGGGGACTGCTTCTCTTTTGCCGTCAAACCACCGGCGGGGAGTGCCGTGACGAAGCGCTCAATTCTATCCCAGACTGCCCAGCTCTTTGATCCACTCGGCTGGCTCACTCCAACAATCGTTCTAGCGAAGATCTTCATCCAGTCCGCGTGGTTGTTGGGCCTTGACTGGGATGAACCTTTACCGGAAAACAAAGCTGCTCGATGGGTTAAATTCAAGGCGGAGCTGCCGGTGCTCTCAAACATAAGAGTCCCAAGAGCGCTAGGCAAGGGAACAACAAATTACCTGAGGACGGTGCACGGCTTCGCTGATGCGTCAGAGCGCGCGTACGCTGCAGTGCTCTATCTGAGAGCTGAAGGCGAGGACGGCGAGATCAAGGTAACACTGATCACTGCGAAAAGTAAAGTTGCTCCTCTTAAGCAGGTAATCTTGGCGAGACTGGAACTCAGCGCGGCGGAGCTCTTAGCGCGACTCGCGAGACACTCGGTGGACGTTCTACGCCTGCAGGATCTACCGCTGCACCTATGGACGGATTCAAAAGTAACTCTCGGTTGGATTCAGGGACATCCATCGCGGTGGAAGACTTACGTGGCCAATCGAGTCGCCGAAATTCAGCGCTTAGTGCCAGAAGCTCAATGGAAGCACCTCCCTGGACGTTGCAACCCTGCGGACTGTGCATCTAGAGGTCTGTTTCCCAGTGAGCTAGTCAACCACGAACTATGGTGGCACGGTCCGAGCCTCTTGCATGAAGGAGCAAACTCGGCAGCAGTGGAACAGATCGAAGCGCCCGACGAGTGCAAACAGAGCAGCGAGCGCACACGTTGACCACATCCACTGGCGAACCCCCCGAGGAACATCCTCTGCTATCACAGTACTCGACACTCCATAAACTCCTGCGAGTCACTGCCTGGTGTCGACGATGGTTACCTCGAGAGCACCAGTCGAATGGAACCGGCCGCCGAGATCCAGGAGAGGCGCACCGTCGCCCCTTATCCGCCACGGAGATCGACGACGCAGAAAAATTGTGGATTCGCCATGTTCAAGCTATTCACTACAAAAGGGAACTATCTTTAATTGCCGTAGATTCCAAGGTTGACTGCAAGGGATCACTTACCAATCTCTCCCCGCTGCTGGACAAAGAAGGAATGCTGAGAGTGGGAGGCCGCCTACGACATGCGACCCTCTCCTTCGACGAGAAGCACCCAATTATTTTGCCGCCTCAATCGGCTCTCACCAAGTTAATCATTGAAGCCTGTCACAGGAGAGCACTGCACGGAGGGGCGCAACTGACATTAGGTATCGTACGCCAGCGTTACTGGGTACCACGTGGACGCAACCTGACGAAACAATGCATCCGTCGCTGTATCACTTGTGTGCGATGGCGGGCGGCATTGGCCGAACAGAAGATGGCCGATCTGCCTCGACCACGAGTAACTCCAGCGAGGCCGTTCCAATACACAGGCGTCGATTATGCAGGACCGATACTTCTGAGGACAGCGCCCGGACGGGGCCACAAGGCGACCAAGGGCTTTTTGGTGGTCTTCATCTGCCTAAGCACGAGGGCGGTACACCTTGATGTGGCCTCTGATTATTCCTCACAAGCTTTCATTGCCGCCTTTAAACGATTCGTCTCTCGACGAGGAATGTGCACTGAACTTTTTAGTGATTGCGGAACTAATTTTGTAGGTGCCGATGCTGAACTCCGCAAACTTTTTTCCGCTAGCACGAAGGAAGGACGATCCATTGCGGAGGAGATGGCCAACAATAGAGTACGATGGCGATTCAATCCCCCTGGAGCTCCACACTTCGGCGGTCTGTAGGAGGCAGTGGTTAAATCAGCCAAGCACCACCTGCGAAGAGTCCTCGGCGATGCCACACTTACCTACCAAGAGATGACCACTTTACTCACCTAGATAGAAGCATGCCTCAACTCCCGTCCGTTGAGCCCGCTCACGGATGATCCGGAGGACTGTGCTGCGTTCACCCCGGGGCATCTCCTTGTAGGGACGGCTCTCACAGCCGTGCCTGAGCCCTCTCTGCTAGATGTGCCTGCAGGCCGGCTCTCGCGTTGGCAGCTCCTGCAGCAAATACGCGATCAATTCTGGTCGCGGTGGCAGACCGAATATCTTAGGGGCTTAACCCAGCGATCCAAGTGGAAGGAGACGACTGCGTACCAACTTGGACAGATGTGCCTGATGCTGAACGAGAATACGTCTCCGGCGAAGTGGCCACTCGCGCGTATAACGGCCGTCCACCCGGGTGACGACGGGCTCATTCGGGTCGTCTCAATTAAAACAGCCACGTCGGAATTCAAACGCCCCATCGCGAAGCTCGTATTACTCCCTATCCAAGCTCGCGAGAAAGATAATTCCAATTAATAAACGCATAATTTCACCTGCCGAACGCTTTACTTTCAATGAATTCTTACCGTAAATTCAAGGAAATAATAGAGCAGCCGTCGCCGTGTCCGTCCCGCGCCGTCATTTCGCTCGTCAACTCAGTTAATCCTCGATCACTTAAATCACTCGTCACGACATTATACGCGGTAATCACTCGTTTCAGAATTATCACTGATTATCACCGATAAGAAAACGACGCGACGTACCCTCTCGCAGTGTTGTGGGCGATAACCTCGAACCTAGCGTTACTATCGTGAATCGTCTATCAATGAAATCGGTTCGTTCGTTCCACCTAACGAGGCGGGCGGGATGTACAAAGCTGCAGATATCGCGGCCGACGAATCGCTTGAAGCGAGCGCGCGCTCCCGAGCGCGTGACGTAGTGATCACACGTTCTCGCAACGTGAGTTTACCGCGAGCTTAAGCCTGCCCCGACGCTCGCCCAATTACAAGCGCGCGCCGTGTTAAAACCATATTTTTGGCAAACGCTCATTCGCGCAATTTGTCTCTGGCCTTCTAGAAGGTTCATTAACGGCAAGAAATATCCCTCCCTGTACGGGGAACTTTCTGGAAGGTCAGAACCGATAAAAGAACCCAACGGAGCGACGCTCGTCGCAGTCTTTCGCTAGAATTCCGCATTAGCCGTTTCGTAAATTTAGATTACTGTAATTAATAGAGTGCATAGTTGTAATAATAGTTGTGTTACCTTTTTTTTTATTAAATGTTAAACCGAACAATCAGAGCTTATTTCTTACTGACATTCCTCTATTCCTCGCGATCCAATTGAACTGATAAATTCAAGAACAAACTTCAAGTTGTTCTTTTTCCAGTTGCACATTTAAAATTTTAACTTCAAGTTGTTCTTTTTTCAGTTGCACATTTAAAATTTGTATTTCTATTTCAGATTTTGCACTCAGATCCTTCTTCATTAGCTCGACTAATTCGGCTTTAGATTGAGCTACATCATAAAAACATTGATTGCGTTTTACAGCGCTTATTACAGGCCTTACAGGCATTCTCGTGTGTCTTCCCCGCTTTACAATTTTCTTTTTTACGATCGAACTAGCAGGGTTTGTCGCATTTCGATTTTCCTTCGACGATGTTCTCACAGCTGCCTCTATTTCAGCATTGGAATAAGGAAGGTCCAAATCTGGAGCTACTTCATTATTGTTGCGTACCGGAACTTGTAATTCAGTACTTTTGTTCGATTTCAGCACTTCCGGGGTCCAATTAGCCCAAACCGTTGCTACACCTGTTTCATCGA